AATGTTTGAAGAGCATAGAGTAAAACGTGACATTCCGTGACCAGTAGCATGTGAAGTATAATACATTTCAATAGCAAAGTCTTGCCGGGTCCACTAGTAAATAAAATATAATAATAGGTAAACGACGCCGGCCAAGTGGGCAGCCGGGATGCAGCGTGCAAACCGCCCTAACCGTTTCGCGCGGCTGCGCAGGGTGCCGGCGTGGGCGCCGGGGGCTCGCTGGGGGACGACAGCTCCGGCCTGGGCCTGGAGACGCCCAGCGGCAGCGCGTCCTCCTCCACCTCCGCCTCCGCCGCCCCCGACGACTTCTCCGCCGCGCCGTCCTCCGAGGGCGACGAGGACGACGACGACGAGGAGGAGGAGGAGCACGACGCCACGGAGCGCACGCCACTGCACGCCGCGCGCCCCGCGCTCGCCGTCGCCATCGTCCCCGCCAAGCAGGTGAGCGCACGCCCGTGCTTTCAATCAGGGCATGCTTAATGCGCTGACGCCACTGCGCTGCGTCTGGCCGCGAGGTCCTAGGGCTGCACTCCCGTCGGCTAGACAGCTAGGTCGAATGCAGCCGCTGTTTGGAGGAGAATTCTGTGGTAATTTTCATGGCTTTTCGGATGGGTACCAGGCAAATGCCGGGACAGTACCGTAACCAACGGGTGAAGGACCGTACGCGATCGTTCCTTCCCATTCCTTGTCCTATCATCGCCCATATTACACACATACTAACATGCTCCCATGCCGGGAGATCGGTCGGGAGTCTAGAGCTTGTCCCGGCGGAGGCGTTGCCCGAAGCAGTGGGAGATACCTGGTTGGGGAAATCTCCGGTCAGTGCCGGATCTCACCATCACCGCCACATCCGCGATAAAATATGCAATAAACTTTCAAGACTAATGACTAGCAATAGACGCGCCCGGAATTACTAATCAACCTATAAGGCAACCAAAATAATGGTTCATTGACTGTTCACGGACACGTCAACTTCTATAGTCGTTAGTAGGGCTCGGTCAGACTTTTAGTTAAATACCCCTCCTCCCTTAATCTCCAGCTTTGGAATTTATGCGGGGTTTCAAGTTGCCCCCGCCCCATAGTTTACATGGACTAAATTACATACCCCAAAAATAAATATTTTAGTCGACACACGTATTACATATTTCGCTAAATTGTATATGAATAAATTACTATTTCGAGTATTTTCCAGTTTAATGCTTGGTGGTTGGTAACACTACATGTTATCGCGGAACGTCCCCAACTCAGTGGAGTGATCTGGTTCACGTCCTGTTGAAACGTCGGGTCCATTTCTAACATTTCTGTTCATGACGACAACGGCACTCCAAGCGATAACATAGTGCACTCAAAAAACGAGTAGGTCGCAAAATTTCTCTGATTGATCAGACGAAATGTGCCTAGTGGTAAAGAGGATGACGCCTAGTTTTACTAGGAGGCCTCTCGGTTTTGGTTACTGGTTTTCATGCGAGTAGTAAATATTTTTTTCGTATATTTCAGTTTTTTAGCAAATAAAAAAATAATATTTTTCATTGTTTAGCACCTAAAAGTCCGAGCCGTAGTCGTTGGTCTCATTAGTGTAGTTAATGTATTATTGCGGGCGATAGCGGTGTTCTGCCCTGAATGGTGAGATCCGGCGCGAACTTGCGTCGACTTGCGAGTTTTTCCCATCCAGGTGTCCCCTTCCAGCAGCGCACTTCCACTTGCTGGGACGAACTGTAAGCTCCAGCCTGCTATCCCGGCATGTGTGATAGTGTGATGCATGTGAATGGATGATGAGTGCTCGTAAGTGTGTGTATTCTGCGATTTATGCAACTTTGCCCTTGGCAGGTATCAGCTGTTGACGGTTTCATCCAATCGGTAGCTCGACCCGCAGAGTAGATAGTCCCTATCGGTAGCATCGTCACCGTAGTGACGTCACTATGGCGACGTTCTGGCTCCCCATTGGATGAAACTGTCAAGATGGGAAGGGAAAGACGAAGGAAAGATCACGCGCAGTCCGTGGCCCCTTTGTTAGGACACTGCCTCGGTATTCTCCTGGCATTGATCGCAGAAATCACGGAATACTGCAGCTCGGATCTCCCGACCGCGTTTGCTCTTCCAGTCGGCGGCTGAATTCGGCCTTGATATGTGGCTGTGGCAGAAGTCCGCGATTTGGAGCACGAACCCTGGGACTTCCCGTCCAGGGCCGCTGTGGCGGCTTCGATTCCCGCCGGAATTAACGTGCATTAACGGAATTAACGTGAAGCATTTGCCAACGGCGAGTTTGTGGCGTCGGAATCGAATTCACAGGCCGACCGCCTTGATCAGCGGTTTCCGTGACTTCTCAGATCGCGTCCAGGCGATTGCGAGAGCCGCACTCTAGAGCGATCTTTCGCTCTTTTATCTATCACTTCCCGACCCTATCCGATCTTTGCTTCCCCATTCCCTGCTTTAAGGCCCGAGCAATGGGGTTCCACCCTGGCCCATCCCCCACTGATCTACGAGTAGGAAAACCCTCCGTCTAATTCAGAGATATGCCGAGACAGAACTGTAGGTCGCGTTCCCGAGGAAGAATTGTAAGGCGTGTTCCCGTGACAACCGCACTAACGCAATTGGCCACGTAACCGCGTTTAATTTTTTCATGTTCGCTACCGAACGCGTTTGTTCATTTTGACGCAGTGATAGGGCAGACAATTTTTCTATAACCAACTGACGCGGAACAGCCTTGAGAACCTGACTGTTGGAGTTGCTTTTTTAAAACCACATATTGGTTTGGAAATTAAGTTAATGTTACTCGGGCACCCGTTAAAAATGGGGAAATAACATCTTACCCATCCCTTATTTCTTTCCCATTCAAGCTGGCAAAATAATTCACGAAACATTGTTTAGTGTGACTTAATAAAAAATACATTACATAGTAATTTTTACAATGAGGAATATTGCATGTTGTTTCCATTATTTTTGCGACTACAATACCTACACTTTTTTAATCTAAATAAAAACAAAAAGGCCTGTACAAATATAATTCAATTATTAAATTTTCTAATTTCCGTAATTAGTTCAACAATCAAGTATATTTGGAATTTCTATATAAATAGAATTATTGTTGTTATTAATACTACATTTAAAAAAACCTTTGTTTCAATTGTTTTAGCATTATTAAAACGAGATCACGTAGACTTTCGGAAAGTACCTTTTAGTTTTTGTGTGTTGATGAGTAATTTTATTCAAAAGAGAATATTACAATTGCCTATTTAAAATTCTAATACCACAACACTGCGTTTCCTTGTTTACTGCAGTAGGCTGAATTTTATTGACAGGATGCTGAAAATGGACGAATGACGTACAACGAATGGAATGTTCTATGTATTTGTAAGTTTCACAGAAAACCGGTCAATTTATTGAATATTGTGTATTTTTAACTGCGTCGACTCCGCACGAAATGGGAAAATTAGCTTCCTGTTATAGACCTAATTTATGTTTCTATCTGAAAATAGATGCGTTTAACTTGATATTGAGAGAAATATTTTTAGACTTTCGTTTGCTATCGTGCTTCAAACTTAAATCGGTAGATTGAGTGTTATTAATAACGGGAAGCTTATAAATAAAGTACCTAGTTTGACAAAAAACTGTTTTCCAACCTCAACATTGTGATCCTTTTATCTAGCGATTCTTGACAGGACGATTTCACAGTTTGGATTTTTACCTCATTAATTTCTGCACAAGTATATTCTTTTCCACACAATCGTATTGCATATTTGTCACTCCGGCAATCACATCAGCAAATCGGAATAATTAGCACACGTTTTATTTAGGTATCAACTAGATAACATCTTGGAAAACTGGTTGATTTATTTCCGTCGTGCACAGTGAAAATTATGAGAAGTTTGTATGAGAAAGTTCGTAGTATTACGAGTGCATTTGGAGTCCATGCACTTCACAAAGTAAATAAGTTTTAAGATGCGACTTAAATTATTAGTAAAATTATATATTATATATCAAAAACCATTTTACGACATTAAAGCACACCACCCAAGTTCTTCATTGTTTTCAGTTCCAAGTTTCATTGAAATTTGAGTTTATTTAATGGTAATTACTGTGAATTTCTCGTATAAATAACGCCTATAGCAATATTTTAACTTTTGGTAATCGCCCTATTGATCCAGGCCAATCGAATGGAGTAAAATAATAAATAAAACGGAAAGTGTACACTTTCGTTTATTGTGTTATTAATATTTATATTGTATTTGTGTAAAAAGTCTGTTGGCAAAAATGAGGAAACTCACTTTAATTTCTCTCATTTTCTCTTAGCTCAATTCTGCGGAATTTTAGCGTGTTTCGGACCGGTGTCAAATCGTGGACATATTGCCAAGAGTGCGTCGGCGGGGAAGTTGAATTACTTTTGGGCTTGCAGTGTGTGCGTGCGTGAGCTTGCGAGTGTGTGTATCTGTGGGTGGCTTGCGAGTGCGAATGAGTTTATGGGCGCGTGTGTGCTTGGGAGTGAGCAGGTGTGTTTGAGTGTGTGTGTGTGTGTGTGTGTGTGTGTGAGAGAGAGAGAGAGAGAGAGAGAGAGATAGAGAGTGAGAAAGAAAGATAGAGAGTGAGAGAGAAAGAAAGAGAGAGTGAGAGAGAAAGAAAGAGAGAGTGAGAGAGAAAGAAAGAGAGAAAGAGAGAGAGCAAGTATACGTATGAGTACGTGTGTGTGAACAAGTATGTGTATAATGTGTGTGTGTGTGTGTGTGATGTGTGTATGTGGGGGGCGGGGCGGATGGAGGCGTTTGGAGGCCGCGGGAGGTCGTCCTTCTTCCTTCACGGAAAGCGCGCTCACCGCCAGGGGGTTGGCGCAATCGTCCCGCTCCTGTCCTGTCCCGTCCCGTCCCGTCTGGCTCCGCGGCGGAGCGGAGGGGAGCGCGGCGGGGCGGGGCGGTTCAGGTTCCGAGCGCGTGTTTTCGCCGTGCGCAGGCCGCCCCGGACGCAGAAGCCACCGCCGTCCCAGAGTCGCCGCGCAGCACGGCCAGCCAGGGCGCACCCCGCGGGCGCGCATCCAGCAACCGCAGCAGCAGCGGCAGCAGCAGCAGCGGACGGACCACCTACTCGGGCGACCTGGAGGCCGGCGGCGACCCCGCGGCCGCCAAGGGGAAGGTGCCCGACGGCGGGTGGGGGTGGGTGGTGGTGGCGGCGTCCTTCGTCATGAGCATGATCGCCGACGGCATCTCCTTCTCCTTCGGCCTGCTCTTCGTCCGCTTCCTCGCGCACTTCGAGGACAGCCGCAGCAAGACGTCGTGGATCGGCAGCCTCTTCATGTCGGTGCGTAACGCCCTCGCGCCCACCGGCCTGGCGGCGAAGGCGGCATCACCCCGGCCAACCCCCAGGCCGCGCCGGCCCACCCCGGGTGACGCGCGCGCACACTGGCGGACCGTGCGTGAACCAACGCTCCAGCCTGTAGTTACGGTTCCCCTAAGCATTGCCTTTCCCCGTGTGTCGCCAGCGCTCGCTGTGCGGACCAACGATGACCTTTCAAAGGTTCCCACTCCACCCAGAAGATTTTCTAGTTAGCTCGTAAATTCAGTCTCGGGATCCCGCTCTTAAGCTTCCTTCCCACAGTCGCAGTCGTGTGTTTCCCTTTTTTTTCGAGGGGTTATGGCAGACGATGTGCACTTGACTGGTATGTCGCTCCGGAAGTCCGCGACTTTTCCAAAACAAAGCAAAAATAATTGGCAAGAAAAATCATTGGTCTATGAATGAAGATCTCCAAGGCCAAGAACGAAAATCCAGTTGTGAATCAAGAAGCGCGTGCCAATCCTGTGCACCGTTTTCTTCGAAGTTTTATTGCGTTTTAATTGAAGTGATCGAAGTCTGTCCGGCATACTTGTCTCAAGTGCATTTGTAAGGCCAGCACCTGAAGAAAGGTAGGTATATGTCCTGAGCAGCGTAGATGGTGCGTCAAAGCCTCTTTCATACGAAAGGGGAGCTGGGGGTGGTCCGAAACGTACAACATGAAGCAAAATTCTGCAGGAAATGCGGGAGCAAAGATCTTTCCTGCGTGTGTATTATTCGAGTAGTTGCGTCAGCTATACTACAGTTTGAGACGTTTTTCAATATAATCGATGGCAGCCGCAATACTTAACAAGTGTGTGTCGTAAGGAAGAATATACTAATCAATATTGAGCCAACAATTCCTGATAAATTTATGTAATTTCGAATAGTTTATCTTTCTTTGGAAGTTACAATTGGTTTGCTTTAGCTTATTATTATTTTACTATTTATCTCTTTGATATAACCAACAATGATGTTAGTGTAAAGATTGTTCTGAAAAGGGATATCTGAATATTTTAACGTCACGAAGACAAAACTAAAATTTTGTTTCATAAAGACAATGCTTATTTTTCCTATAAAAAGCGAGTAGTCCAACGCTGGGGGGGGGGAGTATTTCGATTTTAAAATACTCACATGTCAATGAATTAAGGTACAGTTTTTTAACTTAGCATTGGTTTTGGAAATGAATCTTAGAAAAGTGTGTGGAAATTTATCTTCATATACAGGTTATTCATTTCACAGTGTCTGTTCGATGTTTCTGTAAAATCCATTGCCACCGTTCGGATATCACAAGAGATTAATCTCAAATTCTTTGACAGCGACATGGAGGTGCGAGATCCGGTGTATCTCAAATTGTGCTCCCTTTACTGTGTTTATATCGTGAGTGATCGTGAATCACGGCCATGCCGCGAGACGATTTTCCGGTTTTCTGTTTTCGATGAACTTTGTGGGTTTCATAAGGTGGCTCAGTGACCTTGAATACTTATTGTGACACGACAGACAACTATATTCTTTCACATCGAAGAACTGTGTCATCATAATTATTATCAGTCATGTGTTCAAGTTGAAGACTCTAATAAAAAACCGATTTAGTAGTTCCACTTCAAATAAACCAGTTTATGTGTAAGAGTGGTTCTATTAGCTAGTAGTAATCCTCTTCGAGAGGGCACACAGAATCTTGTTCAAGATTGGGACAGTTGCTTGTAAAAACGTGTGATAAACCGTAAAACATCTCTCCCAATCAACTGTATTCTTTGATTGCGATGTGTATTGTCCTTAATCTGAATTGGAATTTCTTAACATCAGTCTACCTGTGCCTTTCATTTGAACAACCTGTGTAATAGTTATAAACGGTTTCAATAAGCAACTTAATTTTCATCCAAGAGTTTGTAATAGGAATTGCCCTGTGTGTGACAGGGCATTTACCGAACATGTCACGTGCAGTGCGTGAACGGCAAGGAGAAAAGTGTATGCAGAAGTTTTCGTTCACCCGCTCAATAAAAAGACATTTTTTAATGTCAAATCTCGCCTAGAAAGCATTTTTCAAACACGTTTTAGTGCTTATTGCTGCTCAGCCATTCAGTATATTCATGTTGTTTATTAGACAAAATATTCTTAAAATTGTCTTAAGAGCTTATATTCGAAGTTTCGGCGATTGGGGCCCCCGGACACTGTATATTTGCGTTTTTCATGTGCGGGTTCGACATACCTCCCTTTGTAGAAGACGTAGTTTTTCCATTGTGTTTTTGCTTATGGTATTGATTGCGTGGTATTTACATTGTGGTTATGCAAAATTTCGCCTTTCGTCTATTTAGGAAAAATGCCTACTTTGCTTGTTTGCGTTGACAATGTCAACATTCATACTTTTTCGTAAACCGTCCGTGAACAGAATTGGCGGTAAGGCTGCGACAAAGTTTTGTTTATTCACTCAAGATGTCAGAAAGTTTGGCTGAATGGGTGATAGTAGGATGCTTGGAAAGGAGAGTACAATGTATCAGATTAAGATTAAAAGTGGATTCCTTGAAAAAAATTTATTTCTATGTGTTCAGTAAATATATTATCTCTTAGAAAGAACAAATACATTTTTTTAAATCTTTCGTATTAAACGAATTATACGAGTGAGATCGACGACCCCTCTCCCTTAGGAATAGATGTTACCATTTCTACTCTCGTATAGCTGGGGTTAAGTACATGTGAGAGGGTAGCAGATTCTTTTAAAGTCAGTATACTCGTACACGGTTCAGTTTTCGTGCAGTTTGGACGTAGTGAAAACGTGCAGTTCGGACTGTATGATTTCTGCGTGAAAACTTTGAGCACGTTCGTAATGTGTCGCGCAGAATGCTTACAGTTCGACTCAAGTGCCGGTAGCGGCAGAATCGTTCCCTAACAGGTTTGTTTTCCCGACCATTTCGATTTCGAGGTTAGGTGTGTCAAGGTGCAATTGTGTGAAGTGATATTGTGATAAACTACCTCTTTCTTTATGCTCGCATTAATATTTATTTTCTTTAGGCTCCCCGTAGTTAACGAATACGCAATAAAGATCACAGCCAGAACGCTCGCACAGAAATGCCGCCACTGAAAGTATTCGGACGGCGCAATTCAGTTGTTTTCCGGTAAACATCCTAGCGGCGATTCATGAACGTCTTGTGACGATTCATAAACGTACAGAGCGTGTATGAGCGACTTTTGGCTTTTCTATTTCTTGAATGTATTTACTAGGCTGTCCGGAAACGTCGGCTCCTTCGCCATGGACGCGGCGTCACCCGGACAGCCTAGTAAATACTGACTCCGGCCGCGGAAGCCCACGCTCTCACTATTTCTTGAAGTTTCTGAGAACCTGCTCGAAAACTGCGCCTTGTGTGGGGTAGTGCCGTACGCGCGCGAAGGGCGGGGCGGGGTGGGAAATCCATTGGAGGCTGTGCGCAGGTGCCGCTGATGTCGGGCCCGCTGGGGTCGGCGCTGGTGGACCGGTACGGCTGCCGCACCATGACCATCGTGGGCGGGCTGGTGTCGGCGCTGGGCTTCGTGCTGAGCGCCGTCGCCAACTCCATCGAGATGCTCATCGTTACCTTCGGCGTCATCGCCGGCCTGGGCCTCGGCCTCTGCTACGTCACCTGCGTGGTGAGCCTCCACTTTTTGCGTTTCCTCCTCTCGCAAACACGCCTCTGGATGCGTTACCCAAAGGGACAGTTGCGTGTTTTTTCTTTCTTTCTTTCCTTCTTTCCTTCTTTCTTTCCTTCTTTCCTTCTTTCTTTCCTTCTTTCTTTCTTTCCTTCTTTCTTTCCTTCTTTCTTTCCTTCTTTCCTTTCTTCTTTCCTTCTTTCCTTCTTTCCTTCCTTCTTTCCTTCTTTCCTTCCTTCTTTCTTTCTTTCTTTTTTTTTTTTTTTTAATTCTGCCTAACGGATTCAATAGTTGGCGGAACAGCCTTTTCTTAATTATACTACCTAAAACAACTTAATTGAAGCTTGAATCTAAAAGTTCAAATATTTTGTAGTCCCTTTGGCATACCGAATTTGGAGTAATTTTTATCACTATGTTTCATTGTAGCTAAATGTTAAAAAATTGAAGTAATGATATCATTTTTTTTCGTTTACACAACATTTACACTTTCACATTATATACAAAGATATTCATTCATTCTTCATTCATTCATTCATTCATTCGTTCGTTCATTCATTCATTTCATTCACTCTCGGTGTGGTGTGCACAAGATAAACAGCATTAACATATTGGCGGACAGATCACAGTGGTGGTCGGTCGACTGTTGTGGATGATGTCGGCTGTTTTTTTCGTAACGTATGAACGTAGTACCGTAGGTTTGATGGGGTTTAAATTACTTCGATTAGAAGACCAAATTATAAATTAAAATAAATACTTTTAACATATACATACATTCGTGCATGTATGTGTTATCATGTTTAATTTGTTTCCTAGTAAACTATTCATATGTAAATACAAATGTTAAGCGAACCAAGGTGGGATAGAAATGTAGTTCCCCCCTCATGTTTGAAACTGGTCACGCCTATGCTCATACTCCTTCCACCCCTGAGGCAGTGTTCGATCCATGGCCAGTGCATTTTGACTTTATGGTGGCTTGAGCGCTAGCTCTGTGCAGGTTTTCTCGGGGTACATCCGTTTCGGCACTCTCCTTCCACCAATCTCCCATGAAAATCTCATCACTCTTCCTATCCACGTAGTCTGTAGACCATCGCTTAGAAGCACGAGGGTCCTCGGCAGTGGAAGGAGGCCTATACTTTGGCTGAACGAAGGCGACTGACATGGCTCAGAAGCAGCTTTGCCTTTGTCTCTGCCGCGTTTTTGACCTGGAAGTACAGTACTGAGGGTGGCGAATTTGGAACCCTGGCTAAATTCCTAGTTCGAATTTAATACCATCTGTTGGAGATTTGACCGGCCGGCTACGCTGATCGGTAGTTGTGCTCAATATCAGACCCTAAAAATCCCGGGATTGGAACCGCGCATGATTTCTCATTCCTCATCCTTCTCTCCTCTCTCCTTGAACACACACATACATGCACCTCGCTTCATGTTGAGAGATAAGACGGGAGCGTAGAGCTTGTCCTGGCTGGAACGATGCTTACAGGGGCGATATCTGGAGAGATAAATCGCGCGAAAGTCGTCGTGTAGGTTCTCGCGTTCCAGCGGGAAAGACACATCATTTACCTAGATACAATGTGCACTACACTTATGGCCATCGTAGTTGATGTTACCGGAGATACAAAATATACGCTCACTCACACGTCCCGAAACACTGAACGAACGAACGAACGAATGAGTGAACGAACGAAGGGACGGACGAACGAATGAGTGAACGAACGAAGGGGCTGACGAACGAATGAGTGAACGAACGAAGGGGCGGACGAACGAATGAGCGAACGAACGGAGGGGCGGACGAACGAATGAGTGAACGAACAAAGGGGCTGACGAACGAATGAGTGAACGAACGTAGGGGCGGACGAACGAATGAGTGAACGAACGAAGGGGCTGACGAACGAATGAGTGAACGAACGAAGGGGCGGCCGAACGGATGAGTGAACGAACGTAGGGGCGGACGAACGAATGAGTGAACGAACGAAGGGGCGGACGAACGGATGAGTGAACGAACGGGCGGACGAACGGATGAGTGAACGAACGGGCGGACGAACGAATGAGTGAACGAAGGAGTGAACGAACGAAGGGGCGGACGAAGGAATGAGTGAACGAACGTAGGGGCGGACGAGCGAATGAGTGAACGAACGAAGGGGCGGGCGAACGAAGGAGTGAACGCCAGCGGCGCGTGCGCAGGTGAGCATCGCCTTCTGGTTCGACAAGCGGCGCGCGCTGGCCACGGGGCTGGCGGCGGCCGGCACGGGCTTCGGCACCTTCGTGTACGCGCCGCTCACCAACCTCTTCCTCGTGGAGTACGGGTGGCGCGGCGCGCTGCTGCTGCTGGCCGGCACCCTGCTGCACATGTGCGTGTGCGGCGCCGTGATGCGCGACCCGGACTGGTGGGTGGCGGAGCAGGCGAAACGGACGGCGCAGCGCAACGAAGAAGCGCCAAGGGACGGACGGAACCGAAGGGGACAAACAAGAGGGGGAGAGACCGGGAGGAGGAGGAGGGAACGCGGGGCGGCCGAGGCCCCGGGGCCCGGAACGAGCGTGGTCCACGGGCTCCTCGTGCGGGGGCGGTCGCGGCGCTTTCGACCGGCGGCGGCGGACGCGGCGCGACCCCGGGCCCTGGATGGAGAGCGACCGCGACCAATGCTCCCAAGATGGGCCAGACTCCCCGAAGTACGATGCTGGTTCGGCGCTGTGCGTGGCGGCCAACCGGCCACGCCCGCGCACGCCCCGCCCACTCCGCAAACGGCGGGCCTCGCACAAACGGCCCACTGCTAGCTCCAAGAATAAGGCTAAACAAGCCTGACACCACCATTCAGGTGCAAGGCAGAACGTAGCGGTAAGACCAGTGACCCGAGTAGCTCCTAACGACAACACTTTTTTCGTTTCTATTAATTTTTTTTATATTTTTTGTTTTAATTTAATTTAATTTAATTAATTTTCAGTTAATTTATTTTTTCAATTTTATTTTATTATTTGTTTGTCATCATTAGATTAGTACGCCCTAAACCTGCCCCGAAGAGATATATCGATCTTCGCGTTACCCGTTAAAGAAAATTTGGAGTCGGCATTATCCATATTACACTCATCCAAAATAAGACTTGGAATTTCTTCCAATCATATAAATAATCTTCCAAATACTGCCCAAAAGTGCTCATAGAACAATAATATAGGGAATGTAGGAGGAAGGGCAGCATGTGCTTCGGATAGTGAGCGAATCTGGTAAAATTACACGATTAGTCGGTTAATTACCACATCAGCCAAAATGGGTAGGCAAATTCAAGGTATGGAAAGCTGCGAATCATACGTCAGACGAATACCGGATGAAGTTTACATTTGCCAATACAAGGCGGGTTGGGTATGTGAAGTATGTTACGGTGACAAGGAATAGCTAATATTTGATAAACTGGGATTAGACTGCTGGAGAGGCATTTCTAAGCCTAGAAAGTATCAAGGTGTTCTGGTTAACTGTGTCAGTTGTAATTTTTTAGGAGTTTGTACAAGATACTACCAAACTTACTTGATTCCTCACTTGATACTTCGCTAAGTATTTACCTGCTGTCAATGAGGCTCTGGGCTCCAGCCTTGGCAATTAACGTAAAACAGCATTGAGTGCGTGCAAAGTATAATTTCCAAAATACTCCTGGCGAACACAAGCTCGGACAGTTACCTTACTTCAGCCCGCTTTCTGTGTCTGATTCCAACATTAGCCGAATGAAGTCCGTAATAGCTTGTTCATGTTCCTCTGTACAACTTTATCTCCACGTGAAGTAAATGAGCAAGTAAACCTCTAGCACCTTCAACATTAGATGTATTGCGGACTACCTACGTGCCTGCTCCTTTTCACCTCGAGGTGTATGGGTTATGGCAGACGGCTTATATATATTGGAATATACATATTGGTTACTGGATGACCGTACAATTGTATGAAATGGTAGTATTTAAACGCTTCTGTTACGTAGTGACGAAGCTAGGCTTCGGGTTGTTCGTCAAAGAAATGTCACCACCATTTTCAATTAAATAATCCTTGTAGCATATTATTATTACCACTGTTTTATATTGTAAGACTTTTGGCGTACACGTTTCCACTACCATATAACAAAACCTAAAAGAGTTATTGGGGCAAGCTGACGAGTAATTTATTTTGTTCCAAAATGCAAACTCTCATTGTAATAACTCAGAATTGGAATTTGGGTGTTAATATTCCTGCGGAGAGCTGTAAAATGTTAATCGAGTAATGTAATATTATGTAACAAGGATGTGAGATTTAAAATAGTCGCTCTTCCATTATGGATGTTGGATTTAACATATTGGTCTATTTCAAATTGATGCAGTTATAACAGTTGACCGCTGAACCTAGATAATTGCTGTTTACAATGTGGTAGATAGTATAGGCAAAACTATGTTATCGGTTAATTATAGAACATACGTACGAAAAAAAGTAAAGTATAATTATTTAATGGTTTTGATCGCATGTCTGCATCAGAGTACTTGCAGCATTTATATCGTGTAATGCTTGCCCGCATTGTATAAGTGTAGAATTATCAATTAAAGAGGGATACAGTAGTTTTTAAATATCTAATTATCACTTCCTTAACTACGATTCACGACTCATTTTATAAAACAAACAAAGTACCAAGAGTCGCCTAAGATGTTCCCCTCGCGCATCTTCTGAACCATTGTAAATATTAGGGTGCAGTTTTTTTGAAAACAAATGTGTTTGCAGGGTACGTAAGCTCTATAATATTATTCTATAGTTTTTTTTATTGCAGAAGTATCTGAGACAAAATAGATTTTTAAATGGAACTTTATAGATGTCTTTAGTCTACAATAACGAACTTGAAACGACAAGTTCAACAGTTGTGATGCGATTAAAAATAACTAAAATAAAGAAAAACAATGGAAGTTTTTCCCTTGTATAATAGCAACAATTTTTAGAAATATAGTGTGTTTACGACTCGTGCTGGCGTTAATATTCAACCACCTCCGTAAGGAGTCCAGGGTGACCCGCTGCGATGCCATTGTGTCCCATTGCGGTGGCCTTGCGGAGCGCAAAAGAGTTATGTCACGATGGGTTTACAGACGAGCGTGAAATAAAACAACTACGAGATTTGAGCGAAACACTCAGTTCGCATCCCTTAACGAAGGAGGAGGATAGTGGATAGCATACGAATTTTTGAAATACAAGGCGGATGTTTTCAGTAACAGACTCCAACGTCCCAATGCCAACCTGTCGTTGCATCGCTATTTTTTATATTCCGTGCACGCCCCACCCCCACCGCGAGCGGAGCAGAGACCACGGCCTTGTGAGGAGGTCCCACACATAAAAGTCCTGATGGAATTTTAGAAACTCCCATCCGCGTGCCCAGACTCTGTGTCGCATGGGTAGCATAAAGGTGACTCTAGTGAGGAGTTGAATTCTGTTCCCCGCGTGGCCCCCAGTTGGGTTCTTATCTTTGTCGCGGCATACTTACTGGTATTGAGGAAGTATTTATCCCGACGCAAAGAGGTGCGTTAACACCTCCGGTTATACCTGGAAAGGTAGTAAATAGGGAGATAGCGGGGCGTCCCCATTCTGGCCGTGGGTTGACGTTTTCAACGCGTTTCGGTGTAGAGGGATTCTAAACCAAGGGCAATTGTGCACTTGCGGGGTTGAGGATGAAAGCTATGCTCAGGGTGTCGCACCAGAGGCGTGACCCACCCCTCCCCCTGCTAAATAATACGATTGCCAGAATAGTCCTCTGCCAGAGGGTTATACCGCTCTGCAGGGCCAACGCAACCCTACTGGTCTCGCACTGTGTCACTCGGTCCCGCCAATGAAGGTGGGACAGAGGCATGGCATTTCTCAAAAATATCTCTTTGCAATTTTCAAATACATTGTTACCGGGAGAGGTTACTCAGGCATCAACTGATGTCACTTCAGTGCCTCGCACCGGAAGGACCTGGAGTTCGAGCCCCGACTATGGCAGGATTTTCAACACTGGCTACGTAGCTGGGTCGAGTTCTATCGCTATCTGGGGTAGAATTTTAGAGCCCGGCTTTTCTAATAGGAAATATTCCGTGGTTTCTCCGATCAATACCTGACCAATGCAGGAGCAGTACCCTACCAAACGGCCCACGGGCCGCGCGCAATCTTTCCCTCTCATTTCGTATCCTATGCTACCCCTTACATACACTTACATGCACTACACTACCTCACATACCGAGGAACTGGTCGTGAGATTAGAGTTTGTCCCCCCGGGGCGCTGCCCCGGGGAGTGGGAGATAACTGGTTGGGGAAAACCCACCCATTAGTAGGTCGGCGCCGGATCTCACCATTGAACGGGGCAAGATCACCGCTGCCGCCCAAGAAAAACATGCACTACACTCATGGGACTTATGACCTTAGCAGTTGACACGTCCCCGAAATCGCTAGTAATCAATCAATCAATCAATCAATCAAAAAAGGTTTTTTCGCAACATAGAGCAATATGCATATTTATGAACTCTTCGCTCCACGCTCGTTACCATGATCTGAAGAAATCTATAGGATTTCACTTAAGAAATCAAAGTTGTATCGATATCTCTTTGCGATAACAAAAAATGTTATAGAATAATGTTACATTGCTTCACATGGGCCCAACGTTGTTGTGAAAACGACTCTATAACTGCGAGACTTGAGGAGGTGCACTTGAGGGGAATATCTTAAGAGAACCTGTAAGTACATTGTATCAAAGCAGCCCCTTGGAAGTTTCATGATTGCCAACTGGCAACCCTTACTAAGTTGGGGATCCTTCATGTCCCATTGTCCGAAAATTCAGAGTACAAGGCGGTGGATCGGCTGAGTTCCAAGCTTAATCTAAATGTTTGGCAACACAACCACGCGGCCTTGAGGCGTTGAAGCACCGAGAGGAGAAGCGAAGCATTTTAACGAAGTTCTTTGTCTCTCGGTGTTGGCGAACGAGTTTGCCAGTGGATTTTTTTCCGAGGCTTCGTTTATGTAACTCGCTTAAGACACTTTGTATCACGTGTTGTGTCTGCGCTAATACGTATTGTTTACCAACATTTCATGTAGTGTGTTTCTAAATATTATGTGTCATGTGCACCTTTTGTAAAAAAGGAAGAGGAAAAAAAATACCTCTTCCTTCCGATCCATTTGATTTGTACAGCCGTTATTACCATTTGATTATTACAACCGTTATTCATACTTCGTTACATTATTTGCTGCAGGATAGTTGAAGTGTGCATGTGAAATAGTGTATGATCTCGTTTTTTCCGCATACATCTAATTTTCCTTTACACTCCATAACTTTAATTTTACCACAGACGTATCATAACACTAATAGATTAAGTATCTTATTTGCGGTGATTTTTATATGCAGAATTTTTCCGAACCAACAACATCTTTATTTTCGATGACCTCATCCTCCTTTGACATTGTAATGGAACATTATGGTACAGATGCCGTCAAATAATTTCCCGATCTATCTACACAGACGATGGAGCGGAAATGATGGTGATAGGTGATACTCGTTCGGCTTCAAAACTGGAACTTCGGATTATTCACAGCTGTCCGTGTCTCTTTCCCACGTTCTTCTCGAATGCAGCTACGCCGCAATAGCAGTTATACATATTTATTTGTCGTAATGTTGCCTAATCTTTTAATACAAATGGCTCTTTGTTATCCTCCTTTAAATAATGTCAAAATGTGTAAATGTTATCCCATCCTTCTGAAAGATTGCTTATTCCAATTAGTCGATTGATAAGGTAATTAATCTCTTCAATGTAGTGCATGCTTT